AGAACATCAATTCTTGAGCACATGTTTTTGAGATCTGAGTAACAATTTCCTGCTTCATATCTGTCAAAGCGGACAAAACCAAGCATTAGCAGCACTAGATGGACTCAAAAGCTTGTTATTAATAAAAATCTAAAATAGGATCAATACTGTGAGACTGTTATGGCTTTGTGTTTCGGCTTACACTGGCAGGGAGTAATGGCCTTATAATTCCATCGACACCTTCCTTTGAAATCTCCACTAGAGGCAGAACTTTGAAATGGCACTGTTTGATTTCATAAAGTGTCACACAGGTGCCCTTGAAGAAAGCACCTGTTCCACAAATACTTAAGGAGGATTTTTCTACAGCTCAGTATAACCAAGCAAAACAGCAAACCACCAGATTAAACATTGGCAAATCAAGAGGTGAAAATAATAAATCCTGGAAATAATCCTCCAAAGAAAATCTCAAGTTTCAAGATTTCCAGAGACAGTGTGATGTTAACAAGGTATGAACAGTAAATGAGCTGAGTGACACGAGTACGAACGGCCTGACTGCATTACAGCGTCATCTAAATAGTGATTTGAGATGCTCTGCTGCACAACGACAGCAGGCCAGGAGCTTGAAATAAGACTCCGCAGGAAAAGTAGCCAGAAGACGACAGACAGATTGTTCACAATGCAGATACCATCTAGAAAGGTGGTTACTGATAGGCTTGTTTGTTTCCACAACATTAACTTTTCTTTAGTGTCACATTGAGAGATCTGATTTTCCTTCTTTACACATGTGACCACAGACATTCATGTTCAGAATAAACTGTGTTGTTTTGTATGAAGTCAAACATGTTAATAGCTTCCCTTGAGTATTATTTCTACACGCTGAAGTTTAACATGTGCCATCATTAGGACGACTTAACAAACAAACAAACACTCACTGGATAGTTCACACTCTGCAACTGTAGTAGTGGTCGACCCCTTTCTGAACTCAAACGTGCTTTAATTCTTCGTGGCACAGATTCAACAAGGTGCTGGAAAACATTCTTCATATATTTTGGCCCATACTCACATGATTACATCACAAAGCCGCTGCAAATTTGCCAGCTCCACATCCATGATGGCAACCTGCCACATGCCAAGGGTGCTCTGATGTTCTGAGATGTTCTGAGTGACGACTACGGAGGATCGTTTGTCGTGCTCAAAGCAACTGATCAGACTAGGCAACGTTTTTCCAAACTTCTGTTGCTCAATTTTGGTGAATTTCCTCAGTTTCCTGTTGTTAGCTGATGGGAGTGGCACCTGCTGTGTTTGTCTACAACTGTACCACAACTACTAGATTCAACATGCTGTACATTCAGAGATACTCTTCTGCATACCTTGGTTGTAAAGAGTGATTATGTGAGTTACTATCGCTGTCCGTTCAGCAGTCTGGGCATTTTTCTTTGACTTCAGATATCAACAAGGAATTTGCACCCAGAGATTTGACACTCAGTGGATGTTTTCTCTCTTTCGGACCATCTGGAGATGGTTGTGCAGAAAAATCTCAGCAGATCAGCAGTTTCTGACACCAATAAACACAAAACATTCAAAGTCACTTAAATCAGCAGTCCTCAACCCCCGGGCCTCGGACCGGTACCGGTCCGTGAGTCGTTTGGTACCGGGCCGCGTAAGTTGAGGCTCAGGTGTGAAATGTATAGTTTTTAGGGTTTTTATCGGTTTTCAGCGTTATTTTGTTATCGTTTTTATGGTTAACTCGGTTTTCCTGGTCTTTTCACGTGTGTTATGAATAAATCTTCTTTTTTTCGGTGCCGGTACTAGTTTTATTTTGTTGTATTTATCCGCGACACCTTAAAGGCCGGTCCGTGAAAATATTGTCAGGCATAAACCGGTCCGTGACGCAAAAAAGGTTGGAGACTGCTGACTTAAATCACCCTTTTTCCCATTTTGATGCTCAATTTAAACTTCAGCAGATCATCCTGACCACAACTACACAGCTAGGTGCACTGAGTTGCTGCCATGGGATTGGTTGATTAGACGTTGGCCTTTAGAATCAGTTGAACGGGGCCCCAGTTTAGCTCAGTGGGTGAGTAGGCAACCATATGCCACATGACCAGAGTGCAGCAGCCTGGGTTTGAGACTGACCTGCTGCCATTTGCTGTGTGTCTTCCCCTTTTTCCTGCCTATGTTAACTGCTCCACTCTTGAAGAGGTACACGTTATAAACTGTCCAGTGAGTGTATGCTAATAGTAAACCTGCCAATTATTTTTGCACCTAATAAATTTATCAATAAAAAGCACAATTCCAAAGCCCAAGCTGGGATGCTCATTAATCATTATTGTAAACGGTTTTTGCAGTAATCAAATTGATTCATGTATATTTGTCAGTGTTTAGTTCAGAGACACCAAATGACCAAACTGTTATGAGCTCTATCTTTTAATCTTAAAATGTTAAAAAAAAAAAAAGGAATACATGCAAAAATAAACATATTCACTGAGCTTAAATATATGACGCAAAATCTCAACACATAAACTACACTTGATGATGTATTACAGTGGAGCCCGGCCTATTCTTAGCAAAGGGACATTTACTTGGTTGAAAATTAAATGTCACTCTTGTTATAGAAATGCCACTCTCCAGTTCATCACTTTGTCATCTTCAAGTAGTCAGCGAGAGGCTCGCTGCCTCTGCTGGAGGACTTGACCCCCATTTTACAGAAGCTTAAGTTTAATATTTGATGGCTAAGCAGATGTTAGAAAGTAGGGACCTTTCTCTCTTTGACTGGCTGCAGCGTAACCAATCACCTCCGTCTTGATGAGGCGGACTCATAATTTATTTAAAAGGTCCACACTTGGATTTATGATGGAATAACAAAGGTGCGGCCAGCGTTGAGCGGGGAAGAGAAAAGCTGCAGGGCACCATTTGTGCTCGTGTTTCGTGAGTGTACGCGACGGCCTTCCACCTCTGAGTTTATCATCGCCTGCATCAGAAACTGCAACAGTAACAATGAGGCAGGAGGAAAATGGCAACTTGCTGTGAAAGCAGAGGAGGGGGCTCGCGGACACGCTGACGATAATGTCAGGTTATGCAAAAACATGTTAGGCTATCAACACTCTGACACCTTAGAGTGACTCATTACCGAGCCTGTTTTCAAGTAGGAGCAAAGCTTGAGAACAGGCAACATCTCACTTGTGTGAGAGGCGATCACATAGAAGAGTGGGTGTGAGGTTGCTGGCAGCCGTGCCCACGGGTCAAACATGGATTTCCATGTAGACACGGGCTAATACGCATGTTCCTATGCGCAAACGTTAACCAGACATACCATACGCCCTTAACGGCACTATGAACCATCTACATTTATAAGTAAGATGAGCTGTGATTCACTTAAAACCCCTGTGTGTCTCATTCTCCCTGACACTCTCAGGAGAGTAGTCTATGAATCATTGAGATTAAACACTCGATGTGACAAAGTGTTTATCTTTAAGTTTCCCACTGAAAGAGCGTCTTCTGTCTCCGTGAACGACACACATCCTGCAGTTAGTTCATGAATAGTTGGTGGTTTTGATGCAGTAATTTAGCAATGCAACAACAAAGGCTGCACAGACGAAAACTGCAACCAAGCAAATGCATCAGCAAAGCAACGCAAACAAAATCCACCTGCGCTGCATCTCGGTCGCAGACGCCGATTATAAATTAGCACTGTGCGATATCAAAAACAACATGTGATGTGTTGTTTTCATTTTTTGAACAAAAAATCAATCTAAAAAAAGCTGATAAAGGCATCTACCTATATCTAGTCTAAAGCCTCTGTTTTATTTGAACCATCCTTTCTCAAATGCTAAGGTTTTACAATTGTTTCAACACAACAAACACTGGAGAAGAAGCCCTTCTGAGCCTCAGACTAGAAGACTGACATTATTACTCCCTTCTTCAGGAATGAGGCTATTTTCTCCTCCAACACCACTCTCTCTGTGGTGGTGGGGGGAGCGCAGTACGCAGAACGCCATTAAAACATGAAAGCTCATGGCACGACTGTAATGGAAGCCCTTCCTCAGTGTTTTGTCTAATCGGGGCGGGAGAAGGCAGCAGAGATACACACACTCTGGTTAGTGATCTGTCAGTGGGAGAGCAAGGAGGGCCCACAGCCCCGGCCCTCTCACTGCTGCGAGGTGGCCTAAGTGTAAAAAGATAGAGTCTGACCTGCTAGGACAATTCGCTCACTTCTCCAACCAGATCTCGTTGGACATCATCTGTCCTGCTACCCGGGCAATTACAGCCAAACTAATGCTTTGGCAAGTCCACAGATTTTCCAAATTAGATGAGGAATTCAGAGACTATGTGCTTGCTAAAGCTAAAAACAGCAGTTAACAAGAAAACTGTCCACATTTTTCCACTTTGCATCTCCTCCCTATCCCTGTCCACTCTCTTTCACTTTCTGTTTCCCTAACCAGCCTTACACGTCATTGTTTAGATTCTGTTTTAAGATAGCACATTAACTGCTCAGCACACTTTGTTTACTCTAATTTCCCTACTTCTGATAAGCCTGTTTTTATAGGATGAAGTTTCATTTAACTTGATAATAATAAGTCTTTAAATGTCACACCAAACTTCAGTCATTACTTTGATTACGGATACACCTGGTTAGGTGTATCCGTCAAAAGCCATCAAAAGCATGGCTATCAAACAGCAAAACACTGCTTTTATCTTAAGCTTCCAAATATATAAAACAGCAGAATAAGCAGTAATTGCATTCACAGGCATTCAGTGATTTTCTCTTGTAGTTGCACGTATGAGATGGAGCTAGTGCAGCAAAATGCATGGAAAAGTGCCAAAATCTGTCAAACCTAAATGTGATGATTCAAGAAACAGCATCAGAATAAATTAATTGCAGACTTGACAGACAAAGAACACCATTTTTTTCTACAAAATGACAAAATAGTCCTAAATCAAAGTTTAACATACTCTACATGCCTCTCTTACACACACATTTTAATTGAAGGCCTCACACATGAATGAGTTTTGCTTTTTACCTTGGCACTGGAATCCTTGTTTTCCAAACCCCCTGTGAAAAGAAAGAAGGACGAATTGAACAGTTGCTCGTGCTCACACTCTTTTAAACACGTGTGCACAGTAAATCCATTCATTCACCTGCACATGCATGCACACGTACTGTACACGCATTCATTCAATCCAGGGACCCACGTGTCTCATGTTTTCCATGACTATTAAAGAAGAGCATTGCACGGTTCTTGGGATTTCATGTTTTCCTGAAAGCATTCATTGCCTATTAAGATGTATTTCTCTGTCTATCGTGTGGATAAGCTTGAGTGACCTTGAGGAGCCCTGACCTCAACCCAATCCAGCACCTTTCAAACAAACTGAAAGGCCAACTGCAACTGAGACTCTTGTGGCTGAATTGGAGTGAATCACAGTCCTCTAGAATCATGCCGGTGTAATGGTTAGGTGTGTAGATCCTTTGTGCCTACTTCTTCTGCCGACTTGATCTGTGGTTAATCACAATGTCATTACAGAAATCCTCATCAATCAAAGCCCTCACAGGGAAGCTTTGACCTCATAAAGAAAAGCAACAAGCTGTTTGCCTTAATAATTATGGTTATACGGAGCTTGTGCTTTGCACTAAGGAGTGGTGCTTGGTTGAACATAGGTCATTGTGTAAAGCTGTCAGTGCTATACTAGCTTTACACAGAAAAAAGGCTCTTGGAAGACACACCCACTAACAACAGAGGAGCAGTTTAACTCTGCAAAGCTGTCTGCTAATTTCCTCCTCTTACATTTAAGATACGGCATAAAATGTGAAAATGAACGCTTTTTAGGACAGTAATGCGATTAAAGACCTGCTGCACAGACTGGAACCGCCTAGTGTATATAGATGGAATCAGACTATTTACAGCATTTGGAAACTTGTGTTTCGTTATGTTATCCAAATGCATTTCTCCTCATGAGCCACAAATTAGGAAAACACAAATGCAACACAGAGACAATAATCTGTGCCTCTACACCAGTGTGTTTCAGCAAAACAGGACATGCATAAATCAGTCTACGTAGAGTAGATGAAGTGCTTTTCCATACTGGCTCACTCTGAGCCAGCGTTTGAGCTGCTTCAAGTTAAAAAAAAAAATCCCTAGCAGTTTAAAATTGAAAATTCGAACAGGCCAACTACAGTAGGTGCCAGGAAGGGGTAACCTGTTACTCATCAGAGCACTTCAAACAGGTCCAGTCTTGGCTGGTACAGCAGCAATGGGAAGCTTTTGGCACAGTTTTCATTGAAGTTGTTTCTGCCTTGCAGGAATGTGCTGCAGCTTTGACGTTGTCCTCACAGAGGTTTACTGGGACCAAAAGGCGCTTTAACTACGTTTCTTATTGAGAACTCTCCCAGTTGGAAGTTTAACAGATTAATATAAAAAATGCAACATTAGTAGACAACACAAACATGAAAATGTGAGAGGTCTGACAATTATACAACAGACTGGGATCCTTGGAGAAGCGTGGAGCAGCTAGGAAGGGTTATGACGACGTTAGTGCTCCTGCGCTGACTCTCCACTAGTAGCAAAGTCTTTAGGAAGTGCATGGATCGCAGGATTATGAAGGGAAAAGTTAGCCTGCAGTTGTGTTACATCATCGAGCAGAGTGTAGGCTCTCGACTGAAGTTATCCAATATGCAACAGGCTGCAGTCAGGCAGGGGGTGGAGGTGGGTAAGGGAAGAGCTTACCAGATGAAGTCCGTGCAGTGGCTGCAGAAAGTCGGCTGCTTGAAGAACCTGGCTATGAATTTATGGTTCTTGACCTCGTGGACGTTCTTTTGCCTCAGGGCGCCTTTTCGAGCAAACCTATTTGCGACGTCCGCGGAGGACGACTCGTTCAAACTTACATCAGCCATGTCCCCCTGAAAACGAAAAGATACAATGCAACAGCTTTGCGTTGTTGTCTCGGGGTGGTTTTCAGTCCGTTCAGACGCGCAGCCCTCAATGTCGCGGCGGAAGAGTGCGGAGCGGCGGTCTTCACCGGAGACACTGTACTTACAGTCAGTGAGGGCTTTCCCTGCCTGTCGACACCACTGGGTTGCTCCACTGACAGAGGTGCACGCGGACAGGCTAGCCACATTGAGAAGGGCTGCTTCCTGTCTGGCCCTTCAAAATAAAAGCCCCTTCTCTCCTTCTCTTTCTCTCTCTCTCTCTCTCTCTCTTAATTAGAGTGCGTGTGTAAGAGGTTGTTTGCTATATCCTAACACGTACCTTAAAAACAAAAACAAAAACTACTACCTGCAGCATGCAGAAAATCCAGTCTAACATAACTGCTCATGCAACCTTTTCAGAGTTAGATCTCAGGAGTGGACTACCGAGTCTTTGATTTGCATTCAGCGGTGCATTTGCATTTCCTAGTGGGGCAACATTTCATCTGCATCATATCATATTTAAATCGAACATTTCAGTTCGTTTGAATGGTTAAATGAACAGATAAACTGACAAAAAAGGGGAAAAAAACACAAAAAGTGTATTTGTTCACCTGAGCAACAGAAAGCAGTCAGTCGATAATACTGTGAAGCCTTTTTTTAAATGAATTATTTAGTCTTCGCCCGCAGCTGTGCAGACCGCGTGCGGAGCTTTTATTGAAAAGGGCCTAAGTATTTTTTTTTCTTTCCTTTAAAAATAAGTCGGTTCATAATTACTGCATACTGGCAATAAGTATGATATTTAAAACATCAATCGGTATTGTGCGAGTAATGCAGAAATTTACTGTTGTAAATATTTGCCTGATTGTTGTTTTTGTACGGTTCTGTGCAATTGTGATATTTATTTTCATTACTGTTTTTATGGGCATCATATTAGTACTAGTAGTAATAGTACTTCATTTAAAAAAATAATAATAATAATACGATAATAACTATGACTGAAGCTAGAATAATCAAGCAACAAACCCAGGCTTAATGAAGATGATAATGTTTTCTTTGGGCTGAAAATGTATTGTAGTGTGTTGCCATTGTTCAGTGGGGTAAACTATTAAAAATCACCTCTCTTTATAATGCAATATAATTCATCTGGGTCAGGATCCTTTTCAGGGTCCTTAGTATCTCCGTGTCTGCACGTCCTTTAATCTTAGTCGCAGAAAGCGGTCCACGGTGCCCCTTTTTTGTCAAACAATACATGAAAGAAACACACACAACCTTTCAAATGATGAAAAAGAGCCAGTGAAACCACTCTGCATATCCACTCTGTTACATGCAGATCAACGTGGATTACATTCATTAACCACTTCTATCTTTATTTTTTTAGCTCCCTATGAAAGACTTCACCATTTAAATTATAAGCATGAATTTAAAAAAAGAAGACAGTGATTGATTGGTTAGTTAGGCACTAAATTAAGAACTCGACAATTCAGCCATTGACTCGTTTTCTTCGATTAACGTTTTTATTTTGAAGATGAACTTCCTGGTTTCTTTGCGGACTTTGACTCGGCTCCGCTTTTCTTCCTCCTTTCCTCTCGGGCTGATGTCACCCAACAGGTTCTGCTGTGGGTGGGAGGAGGCCCCTGATCCCACAGCAGGAATATGGGATGGGGCGTCATCGCGTGGAGAAAATAGCGCAATACATATTCTCGCATGGTGTGTAGAAAAAGTAGGAAAATCGAGAGTTTTGCTCACGGTGACTCGCTTGTAGACAGATTCATTCTTTCAGGCACTGTTTGATAATCTGCATAGTCATTCTTGTCGTCAAGTCAGAAGAAATTAGATGATTATTTTGCCTGTCTTCAGAAGTATTGTCTGTGCCCTCTTTAGAGACAGCATAAAATAACCACGATTGGGGATTTTGATCAGCACATGTAAAAAGTCTGTTTGGGTTGGCACGCCATACTGCACGCTGTCAGATTTCACAGGTCGTGTGGAAAAGTACTGAGGACAAAGAGATAATGACACTGATCACACCACACAGCTTACATTTGAATCCGTTATTTTCATGTTGCTTTGAATCAAATTGCAGCACAATTTGCGCAGAAAGTGTTGATATTAGCATTTGTAAAAGGTGGGATTTACTGAGCACCAGGAGACCGATTTCTCACTTGGTTAATAAAGCACAGTTTCTCATTTAAGCTCTCTAATAATGTGCTTAAGATTTCACTCAAATTCTGTGATTGGAGTTATAAATATGTCTCTCACTGGACTCTCCATTTTGCAGGTTTTACTAATGCTATTTGCTTCAGCTCGACTATTTGTTCCCATATGAAGCATTTGGTCACAGCTGCATGGATTGTTTTGAATTGCTTGCTATTTGTCAGACTTCTCTGAGTTTACCAATTCCTTTATGGTCCGTTGATCTGCGGTACAGCACTGCTATCTCTATTCTTCTTCTTCTAAATTTAATTAGGTTAGCAGATCTAATGTTCTTCCCATAGCCACGCTATCAGTAATAAAAGCATATTGTCTGTGATTTTGTCACATGAGTGTCATTTGTCTGAAGTATTCAGGTTGAAAAGTTTTGAAATAAAAATAGCTCCAAAGGCATTTAAGAGTGTGAACGGTATAGTAGTAAGTGTATGGTTAAGTGTTTCAAGAATATTAAGGGATCCCTGTGAAAACTCTGAGACCTCCTGAGTAATTTGATTTACGATAAATCAGTGGAGCCTATCTGAATACTTTAATTCGTCCATGAAGGACACATGGCATTGCTGGCAATCAACAAATCCTCTGACCCACTTAGGTTTTGCATAATTTCACTGATTATGGTCCTGCAGGTCACAAAGTTTCCTCTTTTCTTTTTTTTTTTAGAAGTAATCTCCTTTTGTATGCTGATATAACCCACAATTTTCTAAATTCATTGAGCTAAAGGACAACTTTTAGTTAACTCAAACTAGAACACGTGCAGTTAAATAAGCTTGTGTTGTTGGCATTATCTTGGTAATTATTTGCTCTCTGCTTTGTTGGAGCAAAAACACATTACTAATAAGATTGTTTACGTTTATTCATTGACAATTCTTTGCACAGCAAAGTTTTTATGTTAAGTTCTTGTGAGTTCATGTAATTCTTTGTGTCTGCTGATTGCTCTTGTAACGAATCAAAGTTATCAATCAACTCTAGGTAAATATACAACAGTTGCGACCTTTGTTCTCAATCAATAGGGGCTTACTCTAGCATCTGATTGGACAGAGCTATCACGCTCCTGTTACTCAGGAGCCCTCCTGATCCTCATCCTTACACATCTGCAGGAACACTGAGAGTCTACAAACCCAGGAAGATGTCTCCAGCTTTGGCTTTGTTGCTCCTCAGCCAAGTAGCTTTATACACAACTGTAACATCAGTGAAAGGTAAGGTGAAGGAGGATAACTGCTCCATTTATACCATTTGTATTTTAGCATTAAACAGATTTGTTATGAGTTATGTGCTGCAAGATATCTCGTTTGACTTTCTGTCAGTGATTGTGCTGTTCATGATTTAATTTGTGCATTTCATGCATGTGTGTTTATCGTGTGACGTTTTTACAGTTGAAAGCCTCATTATCTGAATAATAGATCACAGAGTTTTAGTGCAGTGTATAAAAAAAATACAAAGTTTAATATTTAGTTCCAAACGTGACCATTTCTATGCCTGATCTTTAACCAGTATGTAGCAGACCTCCGACCACTGATGGGATTGATTCTTCAACACTAAAACGTGTGTATGAGGTTGGAGAAGAGCTGACTCTCACGTGTGAACAGGGGTACTTGCCTTCAAGGACACCATCGGCCAGGATAACCTGCACTGCCACAGGAGAATGGACACAGGCAAACCTGGCATGTTCCCGTGAGTAAAAATCGTGGTTTTAGGCCGAGGGACCTCCTGAACATGTCTTAGACACAATCAGCAATAACTGCTTTAATATCCTGCAGCTTATAATATTCTGTAACCACAGAATATTCACTGCTGTCCGTATTGTGACATATTTTTCTAGCTAAGATGTGCCAGATCCCAAGATCTCTGCAGCCATTTGCAAAGGGGAGGACAGAAGTACCATTCAAGAGCGTGCTTAACTTCACGTGTGATGATGGGTAAGAGCGACGGCAAGAATGAAACCCCAAAACACAGTTTTGTTTGCAGTTGATATATCTGAGAACTTTTTGTCATCAGGTATGTCTTAATAGGAAGCAATGAAAGCAGATGTTTACATGATAACACCTGGAGCCATCAACCACCTCTCTGCAAAGGTAATCCAGGAAAATGTACAGAGCGAAAATCAAACCATTAATGTTTAATGGACAGCAAAGAGAACAGCCAATGCACATCGTAAACTAAAATAAGCTGACAGAAAACGAATTCAACTTTTGTCAATGTAACTCTAATCGGACCTCTTTCTCTCCTTAAAGCTGTGAACTGTCCTCCGCCCAAGCCACCAAGCGATGGTAGGATTGTCCACGATAAGCCATTGACTGCAACCACAACTAAGTATGGCCAAGCTTGGACATATGAGTGTAATCCACCTAAAGCACCGAGCTATGAGAGAGGTTCTTGCATGGCTAATGGAGGCGTAACTGAACCGCCGGTGTGTCGAAGTATGCAGACGTCTACTTTTGTTTTGGATCTTCACAAAAAACTGGAAAATTTTGTTGCTCTAAAAGTTTTTTCCATTTTTTTTATTTAAAATGTTTTCGTTTTTTTATGAAATTGCTGGTAACTGTTTAATTCCTATTCAAAACCTTATTCTAGACGTGAGCTGCCCAATTCCAACAAACATACCGAACGGCATCATCACCTTTGCTGTGATGAGACAACATGGCTACAAGGAGAAGGTTAGGTATGCCTGCAGTGAGCACTATGTTCTGGAAGGTCGGGATGAAATACAGTGTCAAAACACAGGAAACTGGTCATCAAAGCCGGTCTGCAGGGGTGAGTCATAGGAAAACAAGATCTTCCCTCAGGCTGAAATTCTAGCCTCATCTTAAACTATTCCAAAACATTTCTGATAGGTTTAGATTGTTTGTGTTCATGAGTGTCCGCTCTCTCACTCTAACGAGAAATAAGTTGGTGTCTCAGCATGTAGCACTCTCTTTATAAGCCACAGACTGGATTTGTAACGTCCAGTGAAAATGCTTCAGCTGCTCTGTTTGTTCACCCAGCTCCCTGCACAGT